CACAAATATGAGGGCCATAGACGCTTTACCAAGGCACAGTTACATCAAAAGATAACAATCAGTGAAAGGTCATTTAAATTGAAACATACAGTAATCAGTGTGTAAGCAGGTGAATGACTGAATGTAGAGGAAATTGCTGTGTCCTCTGACTTAAAAAGTTGTGAAAACTACAGTGCTTGAGTTAATATTTTAAATGAGTCAAGTGTAATATTAGTTTGAAAATAAAAAAAAAATGTAATACAATTCTTAAGTAGTAAATTTTAAACCATTATTTATCGTTTAACTTTAGTCAACGATTAATTTAACCTTCCAACTTATGAAATAGCTTTTTTACCACAAAAAAAAAGTGAAAACAAGCAATCTGTTGAGATCCAGAGGTTTGCCCTCCAGAGGGCAACGTGGATCCCTTTCTGTGGGCTTCTGTTACTGTTGGGATCCAGGGGTTTGCCCTCCAGAGGACGATGTGGATCCCTTGTTGTGGGCTTCTGTTTATCTGTTGGGATCCAGAGGCTTGCCCACCAGAGGGCGCCGTGGATCCTTTCCTGGGAGCTGTTGCTCAGCGCTCACAGCTGATCCCCATCAGCTCATTATTAAGCTCTCCCTATATAAGCTGGGTGAGAGCTCCACTCTGAGCCGGATTGTTGAACTGAACTGACTTTGGTCGTGGTTAGCAAGCCTGAGCCACCCTGCCTGCCTGAACCTGTTAACCTGAACCTGAAACCCTGTACCTGAACCTAACCTGCTTTGTCCTCTCTGCCTCCCAGGTAGAACCCTGTCAGAATCCAATAAACTATTGGACTTTTATCCTGCCTGTGTGTCTGTGAGTTCTGCATCTGGGCTAGTAAACCTGCTGATCATGACACAATCTGCATTTATGATGACAACTGTTCTTGTCTGCATTTCTTCCAAAGTATTAAAACTTACATTTCAGGGATATTAACAGTTCTTTTTTTTTTTTTTCTTTTTTTTACAGTGTCCTGTCTGACAATGTGGCAATAAGAATAATTGTCTTGATGCCAAAAAGAGCCCAACAGATTTTACTTACACAAGTGGAGCAGTTGCTCCACTTGTTTCATGCATATAAATTGCTTTATTATAATTATGCAGGGAGTTTTACAGTTTATACGGACACTGCAATGTAAAGCAGAAAAACAGAAGAAGAAAAAGGAAAAAAGAGAAGAAAAAAAGGGAAAAGATGAAA